GCAGAGAAGGAGGGGGCTGGATGGAGCCACCGAAGCAGTCGGCCTGAGCTTCAATGGACTCCAGAGGATGGGAGAGGACAGAAAGCCCTGGAGGAACGTGGTCCAGGGGGTTGCGATGGGCCGGACATGACTTCGCAACTAACAACATGTTAGTTAGTTTTGGCATCGAAACATCGGCGGGGTGGTGGTGGTGGTCCTCAGCCAAGCCCACCACTCAGTCCTCTGCAACTAAGTGAGGGAAGTCCATGGATTCTGATTCCTTTCTGCTTTTTCCTTTTTCCTTCCAGTCTCCAGTTTGCTTTTAATTAAAAATTTCTGGAGATGCAGATACATACGTTTCCATATGCGTTCCTTCTAACTTAGCTGTTTTGGCAAGGGAAACCTTCCCAATAGAAATGACTTAATGGGTATTATTTTACCCCATTCTAAAACACATTTACTTAATTGGAGAACAGCATTGGTTCTAGAGGAGAAAATTGGATAAAATCTGAAGCAAATTAATTTCCCACCATTTCTCCTTCCAGGCCCTGAGTAAGTAAGTAATTTGCACTTATTTAAAAGGGAAACATCGCTTTTTCTACCCTTTTAATGTCTTGCCCGCAAAACAGCCAAGGTGTTGCCTTGTTTTCTGACTGATGGTTGGTTTTGAGGAGAATTAAAGGTGGACGTGATGAGAAAGAAAGAAAAAAAGAGCAAATGGCCACGCTGTGAACAATTTTGGGAACTGATTCTTACAATTGTTGTAAACCTAAAATTAAGACTTCAGGCTGACGTATTTTCCAAAGCACCTGAAGGCAGAACAAGAAGCAAAGGAAGGAAACGAATCAAAGAGAGACGGGTTGGAAGGGACCTTGGAGGTCTTCTAGCCCAGCCCCTGCTCCAGCAGAAGAGCCTGGACCATTCAAGGCAGATGGTTATCCATTCCCTTCATGAAAACCTCCAGTGAGTAGAGCGGGTGCAACTTTCTGGCGCTTTCAAGAAGGGATTGGAAAACCATCTGTTGAGAGTAGTCTATTGTCTCCTGTTTGAGCAGGGGGTTGGACTAGAAGACCTCCGAGGTCCCTTCCAGCCCCAAGATTCTATCTTCTTTCAAATCGGATAGAAGCTTTTCAAAGGGAGAACCGATCTAGAATTAAGGAGGAATTTCCTGAACAGTGAGATCAATTAATCCATGGAACGGCTTCCTTCCAGATGTTTTGGGTGCCCCAAACACTGGAGGTTTTCAAGAAGAGACTGGACGGCCATTTGTCCACCCCAGGGGTTGGACTAGAAGACCTCCAACTTTCAGGATTCCAAATAGCCTCCAAAATTAAATCAGAGTCCGAGGCAAAGGATTCCTCAAAAGTCCCCATTGATGAAGAGAGCCACGTTGGCACATCTGGGAAAACCCGAATCTGAAGGCTTCCCGGTTTTCCCCACCCAGTTGAAAGTTCAAGATCTTGCCCCCCCAACACCCACAAGCCCACCCCATGGTCCAATCTCCCACTGCCACGCTGGCAGCTTCCACCCACACAGTTCCGGTCAGGTGCAGAGGTGCAGAGACAAAGGATGACCTTGGTTTTCTAGAAAGGATGTTGTTATGGCTACATAGCATCTAACTCCGTATTTTCCCACCATAGAAAAAGGCCTAGTAGAATAATAGAAAGTGTGTCAGGCCAAAGATCCAAGAGAAAAGATGGCTGCAAGGTCCTTCCAGCACTAGGATGATGAGATTCAGAGATAAATAGATCAGATACATGAAAGATGGATGGATGGATTTACAGATGGATGGATGGATGGATGGATGGATGGATGGATGGATGGATGGATGGATGGATGATGGATGGATGGATGGATGGAACAGCCTGCCTTCAGAAGAAGTGGGTGCTCCATCACTAGAGGTCTTCAAGAAGAGATTGGACAGCCATTGGCTTGGAAATGTATGGGAAGTCCAGCTTGAGCCGGGGGTTGGACTAGAAGACCTCTCATGTCCCTCCCAA